CCTCACAATTGCGAGTATTGATTGAGTTCTGTGTGGCCACTGGAACGGATGATCAAACTCAGCAGAGAAATGGGGATAGCTGGTGTCAGAATAGGGAAAAGGAAGCTCAAGGGTGGAGGCGTGCCTTACCCCAGCCCCTCACAGGAATCGTGTCTGGGCTGATGTGGAGTTGGATTCTTGTGTAGCCAGAAGAGGTCAGATGTGCCTCTGAACCATTTTCCCAGACCTTGATACTCCCTTGACTATACAGTAAAAGTTTTATACACTTATCCACAGGCGAAGGAAAGGTTAGGCACCATGGTTCTTGACTGAAAATAAATGCTTACATAAAAATGATAACAAATGGAAAGATGTATCTCCATTTTGTGCACGATGCTATAACATCCTGTGTTTTTTCCATAGTGAATAAGCTTCCTACTTTAATTCTACGACCTTGAAACTCGGAGATCACTTCAATGACAAAACTCTTGGATAGTTGCATCTTGGCAGATGCTTATGAGGACTAGGCACAGTGAGGACAAAAGGGCCACTGCTGGTACATTTATATTTATCAATGACCTACAGTTACCCTAAGCCCAGAAGATGGGGGAACATCATGTGAAGGCGATTCTGTATGGGTCAAGTCAAGTGATTTAAGTCAAATTCTCAGGAATCAAACATTAGGAAACCTCTTAATTCAGCATCTGGAATACTACTCTTGTTCTCCTCAGGCACTTGTGGTGGTATAAATGGTTGCCCCTATTCTCCAGGCCCTTCGCCATGGAACTCTGCACAACCCACATTCGAGGTGGAGTGTGCTTCCCTGTCTTTGGGCTTGACCAGTTGGTATCTTTGGGCCTACGCCTTCAGAGGCATCACAGGGCTCCACTTATCTTCTTGCCCATCTTGCCATCAATATGAAAATAACCATATCTCCCCCTCACCCTAGGTTCTAGAACAAGCAAACAGACCAGAGCCTGACTCCCAACAAGACCTTAGGGCAGCAGTCGTCCTAGTAACCTACAGCAAGACTTCTCAGGAGAGTTCAGTCGAGACAGCTAGTCAAGTGACCTGCATGCCTCTGAGAAATAAAATATATACTCATGCATACTCAGATTCTGTTTGCTTGACATAGCAGCATGTGACTCATGGGTTACATTGAGCTGCAGGTACTATTAAAAGGACTTTATCTTTTGGAGAAAGCACTTTAGCTAGCAAAATAATCAGTGATATACTTTTGTAAGACTAATGGCATTTAGAATTGGTAGTGATTATAAAAACAGTATCACAAATAATTGATAAAGCACATTTATACTGTTGTGTTCTAAACTGCATTTAAAAAAATCACAGAGAACACATAGGCTATCAGAAATGGGGAAGGATACAAATACATTTGAGTCACAAATTGACAAGTGTGATATACTGAAGATAAAACACATGGGTACATTGAAAGTATTCACCAAGAGAGTAATAAGACAGCCCAAAGACTGGGAAAAAATCTTTAGCAATGACACATCAGACAAAGGCCTTGTTACTAAAATCTACAATAAGTTGCAAGCTTACAATAAGAAAAAACTAACTGCGCACTAAGGAGGTGGGCAAAGGACCTAAACAGAAGTTCCACAGGGGCAAAAATCCGAATGGCAAATAAACATGAGAAAGTGTTCCCGATCATTAGCCATAAAAGAAATGCAAATTAAAGCAACTATGAGAACCACCTAACACCCTCAAAGATAGCCCAATTCAAAAAATCAGAAATAACAAGTGTTGGAGGGGCTATGGTGAGATAGGAATTCTCGTCCACTGCCGGTGGACCTGTAGGTGTGTACAGCCATTATGGAAATCGATTTGGCGATACCTAAAACAGATGGAAATCGAGCTACCATATGATCCAGCAATCCCCCTACTGGGCAAATACCCAGAAGAAGCAAGAAACAAACCACAGTTAGACATCTGTGCTCCAATGTTCATCGCAGCACAGTTCACAATTAAAAGGAGTTGAAAACAACCCAAATTTCCACCAACAGATGAGTGGATCAAAAAAGTGCGGTACACACATACAATGATACGCATCCCTACAAATATGCGATGAACGCATGAAGCATGTTTCCACATGGGAAGAACTGGAAGAAATCATGCTAAGCAAAGTAAACCAAGCACAAAAGGACAAGTACAACATGAGTCCACTGAGGTAAGCTTAAGAAATGGGGCATAGGAGAAAAGCTACTATGTACATACATTCCGGGGGTGAGGTCCAGGTACTATGGCAGGGTCCAAACCCAATCGAGGGATACATACGGGCAACTAAATAGGAGAGAGAAAGAGGAGGGGGGGGGGGGGGAAAGGGGTGGGGGGGAAAGCAGGGCACTGACCCACCCAAAGGGGAGGGTACTGTTTATATCTCCACAGGAGAGGGAGAGAGAGACCAGACTTCAACCCGGTGCACCAAGACATGAATACAACATACCAGCATGTACCAGGGAACCAATAGAGAGGTCTGAGGGGCTGGCCCCAATCCCAATTATGTGGATTTCTGCTTCCCCCTACCTCACTCCCCCAGCCACAGAAGACTGCACTTCAGAGGACAACACTGAAGCTACAGCTTGGGGAGAGAGGCACATCTGATTAAAGAACACAGAAGAAATTCCTAGCCCACCAAGCCCCGAGGACAATATTCCTGCTCAGAGCAGACAACATGCACAGAGGGGACCATAGGGATGGCCCCACCACGAGACACGACGTTCCTCACTGAATCATAACGCTTTGGGGGACAACATTGGAGACACAATACAAAAACTGTGCTCCATCTGACCCCATTACACTGGGGTGAAACACCAAAGGGCATGCAACAGAGCAGCAGCAAGGGGAGCAAAGCGATGAAATCCCGTGGAATACCAAACATAGACTTTGGAGACAGAGTTTGGCACCCATTCAGACTTGACTGGAAAATACTCCGAAAGGTCAAAAAACAGACCTGGAACTATTTATAAGCTTTTCCTTTTTTGTCATTGGCTTTCTTTTTGTTGTTATTTGTTATTGTTTTGTTGGATTTGCCTTCCTTTGTTGTTTTGTTTCTTTGACTGGCTTTTGTGCTTATTATTGTCTCTGTGTGTCTATCTGGGATAAACAATTTGGAGACGAAAACAATGGAACTGATGGTTCCTGGGGGATACAGGAGAAGGGGAGGTGGAAGAAAGGAAAGGGTTGGGCAACCAACCTAGGGACAAGGGAACAACAAGTAACCTAAAACCAATGGCGAGAAAGGCATAGGATGCCTAGGGGGGCTTAATCAAGGGCAATGTAGCAGTGAGAAATTACTAAAACTGAATGAAGACAGAGCATGATAGTGGGACAAGAGGAAAGTAATAGGAAATAGAGGAAAAAACCAGGAGGCAAAGAATATTTATAGAGGTCTAAATACAGTCATGCACACATGTAAATATACTTATATATAACAAGAGCGGAATAGATTTATGTACTTATAGCTATATATTAGGAATTAAGGTTGCAGATGGACATCAGACCTCGACTCAAGTACTCCCTCAACACTTTGTTCTAACAGTCCGGCATTCTGTGATGCTCACCTTCCCAACATGATCGCTGAAGACAAAATGAGTGTGTAAGCAAATGTGGTGAAGAAAGATGACGGTGCCCGGCTATCAAAAATCTAGCATCTGGAGTCTTAAAAGGCTTGAAGATAAACAAGCAGCCATCTAGCTGAGAAGTAACAAAGCCCACATGGAAAAAGCACACCAGCCTGTGTGATCATGAGGTGTCGATGGGATTAGGTATCAGGCATCTAAGACCCAGAACAAAATCATACCCAGTGTGAATTGGGCGTATGTGTTGGGAGAATGGCCAAAGCCTATCTGTTGACAATTGGACATCGCCTCACAGAATGGTCACAAGGAAGAGATGACCCAGCCAGGAAGCAGTATAGCACCGATGAAAGACACAGCTTTCCTCTAGTTCCTTACAAATCGGATTAGACCAGAACATGCACACTGCTACCAATAAGAGTCTGCAACACAGGGAATCCAGGATAGATAAACCCCTCAGGGTTATCAATGAGAGTATAGATACCAGGAGGATGGAGGGATGGTGGGGGAGGCAAGGGGTAATTGATCACAAGGATCAACATATAGCCCCCTCCCAGGAGGCTGAACAACAGAAAAGTGGGTGAAGGGCGATAGAGGACAATGTAAGATATGAAAACAATAATCTATAACTTATCAAGGGTTCATGAAGGAGGGTGGGCGGAACAGGGTGGGGGAAAATGAGGAGCTGATATCAAGGGCTCAAGTAGAAAGAAAATGCTCTGAAACTGATGATGGCAGCATGTGTACAAATGTGCTTGACACAATGGATGATTGTGTGGATTTGTGATAAGAGATGTAAGAGTCCCCAATAAAAGTATTTAATTAAAAAATAACAAATGTACCTATTAAGTTTGTTGATTATAATTTTGATAATTAAAACAAAATCAACTATTGATAATTTAAATAAAATTGTATAAATGGTAAAATTCAGCCAATACTTTTAATAAGTACACAGTGAGTTTCTGGACAGATGCTAGAATTTATAAAAGTACCATCAAGTACTTAATTAAATATGCCTTAACTGCACTCTAACAGGCATGGACACATTGGAACACGTCATCAACAAAATCAAAATACACATTTACTGAACATTCTAAGTAATTAGTATAACTTTTAAAGTTTAACCAATTTACAACCTTAAAAAGTAGTTGACACAGGTATTGTATATATGACATTAACAGTCACATGGTTTCCACAGGCTAAACATTTTCTTCTTCCCAATATCTCTTCTATGCTGATAAGTAATGATGTAAGGGGAAGTACGTAGGAAAAAATTTTTTTAATTGCATTTATAATTACATATTTGAAACAATTTACGTGTTGATAAAGCAAAACATAGAAACTTGAAGGTCTCATTTGTTACCATTTAGCATTTTTCACATAAAAACCTTACAAAATGTGTATTTTTTATGAGCTAGACAATTAAAGGCCCATTAAAAAATAATATTGTTAGATGATATTGTAAGATATTGGTAAATGGGAATATGATATTCTCAACTGGAACTAGCTGGTTTTGATAGAGAAATATTACTCATATCCTATAAAATAGTGATTTTATTAAGCAATCTATTTAAAATGCTCAGTTTAAAAATATTTTTAAAAAATCCTTTACACACAAGTTCTCTATACATTCAATTTTACTAGGCTTCTGATATCTGTTAAATTGCTAAGGAAGTGGGCTATTTTCAACAGTTTCTATTTCTGCTGAGTTAAAGAGAATGCCCAGTCTCCAAAAATAAAAGGCAAACAAAGGGAATGCATCGGAGAGCTGGAAAATAGTTTTATCATGTTTTTGAAGAAATTTCTTTATTTCTGGGTCATCAGGCCCGAGAGTTGAAGTGTTTCCTTCTTCAGTTTCCTTTTGAAGAAGCTGTTCCAGGACCCAGAAGAAGAAGAAAATATTTTCATAGCGCATCACATCATAACTGGCCTGCACCTGGAAATAAACAACAGAAGGCCATAAAGCCAATGGAACACACATGCACGCAAACTGGTAGAGGCTCAGCTCAGGAGATGCCACGTAAAAAGACTACGTTTTCAGAAAAAAAGGCAAACTCTTGATACAAATACTTTCTTTTTTCCTGTTCCTTTGGTGGGCGATGAGGAGAAACAGCAGCATTTTTCTCTAAGACTTTACAACCTTTCCTCCTTAGTGGTGTACAAAACTCCAAATCATTTTTATACATTCTTGTTATGATTTATTACTCAAATGGGCCTAAAATTGCCTCACACATATTAAGTGTTCAGTGCTGATTCATTGTTAGACTCCAATGCATGGTAAGTATTTCTTCCAAACCATCATATAAATATCTTTCAGGGCAGGATTTTAGGAATATGTTTGCATATAAAATCAGTGCTTGAGCACTTAGAGTTGTTATGGTTATGATCCATGAGACCAAGTACGACCACATACATGATCTACAGAAGTTAGGGAGGAGTAGCATCAGACTGTGTGGAGTAAGAAACATGGATGCAAGGAAAAATATATGTGTATTTTGTTGAACTTATTATATGGCTGAAATGCCTGAAAGGGAGGAAAGCCAGTATGAGAGGATAGAGAAATAAGCACAAAAAAGAAACGTATCATTTATTTATTAAGACATATGTTGGAAACAGCTAGTATATCTATGCATTGTGATAATACATTTTATTTTAATCAAGCCCAGAGGAATATATGTAGTATGACAGCCCTGTAATAAGAATTACATGAATACAGATAATGGGAAATAAATACTCTTTAAAGAGACTTAGACTAAAGATTACTCTCCCACTATACTATATCTTACCCTTCTACCAAAATGTACTACACATTCCTTGGGGCATCTACCTCACACCTTTATACTTGTGGTTTTATAATCAAACTCTGATTACCCACACCCCTGTTATCTTCATGTCTATTACAGATGCCTACAACATTCACCGGGTCCTACGAGTTTTCCCCAATTTAATATATCTTAACATAATGTCTTATAGTCAGTTACTATATGTTTTATCACTTATTTAGCCTCTACATGTTAATGGAAATAGGTGTGTTCCTGTCACTGCAGTTTCTACAGTGTCTAAGATAGTGTCTTGCTCATAGGAGACCCTTAATGCACATTCTACTTTTTAATTGAATAGGAATTGTAGTGCTTTAAAAATAGCACTATAAAAATAGATATCCATTATTATCTGAAGGAGAGTCACAGGAACATTTTTTACAAAATTAAAACTGCTTTCCAATTACTTCTCCTATTATATAGTAAATAAATATCACATTTTATGCTTAACTTTATCATGTTAAGGGGTAATTAAATATATATTTTTGTTTAAACTTGCTCACTAAAGGTCAAAATGGCCTCACAGACTCCGATAAGAGTTCATAGGGATGTTTCCTTTGGGAAACTTTAGACTATTGCTATGAATAGACGTTTTTACAGCTAAGGAAGCACTTGCTGATGAAGAAGGATTACAATTTTCAGTATGGATTATATTTCATTGTAAAGAAAAATCTTCACAATTTGACCAATAAACAACTTCATGAAAAATGGAGAAAAAATGGTTAAAGATTTCATTTTATTTGAATCCACAATCAACACTTATGGAAGCAATACTTTTTAAAATATCAATTTATGTATTCTGTCCAATCGGTTGCAAAACCTCTTTAAAGAGCAAAACTATCAGACTTAGGACTAAAGTGTGCCTGATCCAAGACACGGTATTTTCAATCACTTAGCAGACATGCGAGAGTGGGACAAGGAGTAAGGAAAACTAAAGAAGAATAATCTACACATTTGAATTATGGTGCTCTGAAGAATAATGGCTATATCAGGGGATGTCAGGAGAATGAATGAATGTTTTGGAAGAAGCACGGTCCCGATTGCTCCTTGCAAGTAGGGATGACGTGACTTCCTGTCAGATACTTTGGATGTGCTATCAAGAGAGACTCGTTCCTGGAGAAGGACGTCAGACTTGGTACGGTGGAAGGTCGGTAAAAGAGAGGAAGATCTTGGAGGCGATGGACTGGCACAGTGGCTGCAACAATGGGCTCAGACATAACCACTGGGAGGATGGTGCAGGGCACGGTTTCTTTCTGGTGTCTACAGGGCCACCGTGAGTCAAAACTGACTGTAGCGCGACTTAGACGTTAACGTAAATTAGCTACTACTAAAAGAATTCTACAGCAAAAAGGAAAAGTGGTTCATTAATTTGGAAACCTTACCTGCAGCAGGAGTAGAGTACTTCATAATGACAGAGATTATCAATGGATGCAGGAGTGAGTGGTCCAAGTTATTTAAGTGCCCCATGCCTCTATTCTATTAGTCGTACATGATATTACTTACCCTACTGGAACTTGAAAATACATTGGGATTTTATAAGTCAAATAATTTCTCTTTTTCAAAATAATTTAATTTCTAGCTGATCATGATTCTTACCCATAACATAATTTCCTGTATGGTAAAGAATTCTCAAATTTTATCTATCACCGAATGAAGGGGAGTTCTCCCTCATGACAAAGGACAAAGTACAACAGGCAAAATAAGGCAAGGATGTAAAATAGGAAGGTTATGTCTCCATTACCTTCTTATCTTCCTTAAGGATCCTGCTGGGCAGCTTTTGTTCTACTGCCAGATGGTCTAGGGGCGCCACCGTGCTGTCCCATTTCTGAACTGGGCTTTGGACTTTGCCTCTCTTACCAGAACATACCTGACTTCAGTTCCATCTTTATCCTAAAAATGCCTCTTCTCATGAGAAGTAATGGGACGACTTCATTTGCTCCAAGATATTAACACCTCAGAGAAAATGAATTTGCAGCTAACTCCTGTTTTCCTCTGAGGGCCCTGTGGTGCAGTGGTTAAGTGCTCAGACACGAACTGAGAGGGCGGCTGTTTGCGCGTACCTACTGCTGCACCAGACAAAGCTGGGGCTGTCTGCTTCTGAACAGATCGCTGCCGTGGAAACCTCTGGGCTGCTCTACGCTCTCCTACGGAGGCAATAGGAGTTGGGCTACCTTGATGGTAACGAGATGCCTTGGGCTTTAACTCCTTTCCTGAGAGACAGCAGACACGTAGCATGCACGCTTTAGCAGTCTGTCGTCTCAATGTGAGGAAAGTGGCATGTCTGTGGGGGAGGTCTTTCCTGTATTTCTCCAACTTCATCACTCGGGCAGCTGCCTGCTCTGCTTAATCATATGTTCAAGCACTTTCGGAATTAGTGTCATAAGCCTAATGAATTTTAAAATAAATGGTATTAGAATGATAGTTGACACCCTTCCACCATATTGCGGTATAATTTTTATATTCTTAATATTGTCCATTAAATCCTGCCCCCACCAACCCCAAATATATATTGTGAAGCCTAACTTCTATACTTTTGAATATAATACCATTTGGAAGAATGGCTTTCCTTTTAGGTTAATGAAGTACATTAAATCTACTAACTTTTGAGTAATGAAAGGAGCAGATTAAGAGCAGGAGCAAACAAGGAGGAATGGCAGAAAAACAGAGCCTGTCTGGGGATTCAAAACAAACCCGCACAATGAACTGATAGTACCTTCCCCTCGAATGGGCACCCTGGATTCGTACATCTAGACTCGTGAACTGTGAAAAAATAAATGTCTGTTCCTGCAAACCCCTCACTTGTAGCATTTTGGTCACAGGAACACTAGCAAAACTAAGGCACTTAGTGTCAAACCAGACTGACCTACACCAATCTTGGAAAATTACCTATTTTCACAAGGACCTGCCAGGAAGCGTGAATACGCAAATGAGCATTTTCCCCAGGCTCTTTTCAGAATTAATACATTTCTATGCTTGTTTTTCTACTCTGTAGTCAAGCTTGAGAAAGTTAAAGTATTCACATCCTTTTTAAAAAATCAAGAGAGGCTATTAGTATTTCTTTCCGTGGGCTAAATTATCGTGCAAAACTTATTCTCGACATGAAACTGCGGGGCAGGGGCGCTCTTCTTGCGCTTCGTCTTTCAGAATGCAACCTGGAAACGTTCGCCAGGCAGCAAGGGGACTCTGATGGTGCCACGGCACTGCTGCTGCTGCCGCCTCTGACACAGACTAGGCAAAGCTACCTACCGGGCAGAAAGCAGTCTCACTCCTTAGTAGCACAGAAGGACACAGAAGGACGTACACTTGAAGTGTAGTTCAGTGTTTGGATTTTTATGTTTAATACAGAAAAAAACTCAGAAGAAGTAACAGTTTATCAAATCCAACAGTTTGATAATTTATGTGTGTCAGCAAAGCATATGCAGAGGTGCAGTCTACCACGTTCGGAAATAGGCCTGCTGCTGGGGAGAGGGTGAAAATACAACATGTTTTTCTTTTTGCCACAAAATCAAGAGGTGAAGGAGAAGGAGAAGAAAAGCCAGTGAAAAAAATACACCACAGTGAAAAAAATACACCACATAACCTAAATGCCACATTAAACATTCCTTGATATTAGGAATCTTTTATATTGAAATGCTTTTGATGTACATTCATATGTAAGGAAATTTATTTAGTTCCTTTTAAGTCTTTATTTCATAAGAAAAAAACCTGGGTGTCTGATTTCCAAAGAGCAAACATTTGCAAATATGCAGATCTTCAGCTAGCAAAATGGTTTGTACCAACATTCCTAGTAGACTGCAAGCACAACTATAAGAGAGGTCAGGGAGTCCTCACCAATGCCCTCTCAGCTCACACCAGGAGCTTACCTCTGATGGAAACATTGAAAACCCCAGACCAGAGCCAAATCAAGGCAGTTTAAAAAAAGGTTGAGAGGGTGGTGATAGAAGGATGGTAGGGTACAGAAAGAGGTGAGGATTGATAGCAGAGTAAAAGGTAGGATAAGACCATTGAGTTCTTCCTCTTTTTACTACTGACCCTGTATTGTACAAAGTGTCTTATCCTTCACCGGGGTGTCATCCTTCTTGATAACATGTCCAAAGTATATGGGGCCAAGTCTCAC